CGGCGTGCTCGATGAATCCACCATCCCCAGTTGATCATGTCGTACTCGGCTTTGTCTTCGACGAACCTCAATGTGATGTGGCCGTATGATGTTGCAAGAGCTTTGTCACCGTTGATCTCGACATCGACTGGCTGAATGGAATGTGTGGAAGCGACTCGACTGACCATCTTCTTCGATTCTATGACAAAGTGATCGATGGTTCCAGCAATCCTAGAACTTTTGAGTATACATTCGAAGATATGAGATAGAGGAGCATTGTACCATGCGATGTCAATCCAAGTCTGGCCATTATCTGGATGATAAGTGCTCCGCCATCGGTCCCATTGGAATGTGTCTTTGTAGTATCTCTCCCTCGTTACCAAAGTCCTAATTTCGAAGTCATCTAGGAGCTGGGATGGAGACACCATACTGTTTGAAGTGATACGCTATCAGGTATCCTAAGCAAGCATTGACAGAACTGCCTAGTGACGAGCAGAGAATTATTGTCAACAGAGAGGTCTTTTATAGGGTGATGGTCTTGTAGTGCATCGGGATCCCTGGTATGTGGTCCGGTAGAGGAAGGATGCTTTCCATGTGCCAAGTCGCGGTAATTAGGTACCCAGTCTCCAGTCTCCCAGCACGCCTCCATCGGCTCTTGTCTGCTCAGGAAGCATTATTGCGCGTTACAACCAGGCGATCTAGGTGAGTCATCTGCATGAATCATTTTCCTAGACTAGAATACATATCTTGTCCAAAGTATTTCATGCTACCTAGAGCTTGACATGGACTGCTTTTGTTTGGGTGAAGTCGACCAATTCCTGCAAGCAATCTTCTCGATTCGTGCCAGACTGCTTGTAACCCCCAAATGGCATTGACAGAAAATGTGTGCCAACCGTATTCACCCAAATCGTCCCTGCCTGGATTCGTCTCAGAGTCTTTTGAGCAGTCGCAATGTTCGAGGTATATACTGCGCCAGTCAAGCCATACTCAACACTATTGACTTGCTCGAACATCTTTTCTTCGTTGGTCCACTTAAGAACCGACATCACCGGTCCAAAAATCTCTTCTCGTGCAATTGTCATGTCTTGAGTCACATCCGCAAAGATTGTTGGCTCAACAAAATATCCATCCTTTGTATCATCTGTCGAGGGCGGCTTCCCACCTGTAACAAGTCGAGCACCTTCATCCTTACCGATTTTGATATATCGTAAGACACGATCCTGAGCCACCTTACTGACCATTGAGCCCATAGTTGTCTCGGGGCTGAGGGGATTCCCTGGCTTATAGCTGCTCTGAAGCTGTTCCACTGCGCGCTGTAGCACCTCATCATGGATAGACTCATGTAAGAAAACCCTAGATGTCGACCCGCAGGACTGACCGCACCAGCTCCAATTCATGCCGGCAACGATTCCATCCACTAGGCGGTTAATATCAGCGTCCGGGTATCCGATCAGAGGATTCTTTCCGCCAAGTTCAAAACCCGTCAATTTCAGAGTCTCAGCTGCGGCGGCTTGTATGGCCCGGCCAGTAGGCAGGCTTCCGACTAATGTGACTTTACTGACAAGCGGGTGCGACGAGAGTGTCTTTCCGCAGTCGACTCCACCAGAAAGAACATTTAATACCCCAGGTGGGAATATATCTCCTATTAACTCCATAAATCTCAGGGCTGATAGTGGTGCTTGTTCCGGAGTTTTGATCACCACAGTATTTCCCATTGCCAATGGCGCGGCAAGTTTGAATCCCGTAAACATAAGAGGATGATTGGATGCAACGATCCTCGCGACAACTCCGAGCGGCTCCTGCAATGTGTAGTTGAAGGTATCCTCGCTCAACTGCATAGTCTCGCCTGTGACCGCAGGGATTAAGCCAGCGAAAAACTCGATATGCTCCGCTGCAAAGTACGCATCACCTGCCATGATCTTGATGGGACTGCCGATGTTAGCAGCGTCCAGCACGGCAAGCTCAGTGGCATTATCCCTCAATATCTGTGCAACCTTTCGCAGGAGCCTGGCACGCTCCATGGAAGGAGTTGCTCTCCAGGCTGGGAATGCTGCCGCGGCCGCCTTGATAGCTTCTTCTGTGTCCTTAGCGCCAGCGAAGGCTACCGTAGTGATCACTGATCCATTTCCAGGATTGAAAGTCTCTCGAAAGTCACCATCTTGAGGCGAATTCCACTTTCCATTGTAAAACAAGTTCGAATTCTTGGGGATGCAATCTCCAACCTGGGGGAGTTCTTTTGGCAGAGCTGGAACCATATTTTGAGCGAGAAAAGGTAGAGGGCTTGGTGGAGAAGGCTTCCAATCTGGTCTCAATAAGTCACTGTCCGATAGGGCAGAGACATCATAATTGCTTTAACAACGATATATATCTGCATTGCATACGGTGAACTCTTCGAGGGAGCTTGACAATGATGGCTCGGAGACACCTCCGAAATACCCGGACAGGTAAGGCTGAATAGAGACTCCCCGACGGACGGAAGTGTCTGTTCCTAGGCTCTATGCAGCAACTGAGTACGTGCAAAGGATTTCTCGTGTCATGTATTTGTTTCTTTGTAACTTGTCGAGAAATTTCATATACCTGGGTAATCTTCGAATATCATCTCACGTCGTACAGATCCACAAGTAAGGCCTATCAACAATGCCAGCGATTCTAGATCACAAAATTGGGCCAGTTGGCTTCGGCTTGATGGGCTTGACGCGTCCAGTCAACCCTCCACCCCAACCCCAGTCGTTCGCTGCCATGGATGCCGCTTTAGAAAGTGGCGCCAATTACTGGAATGGTGGTGAATTCTATGGCACACCAGAGCGAAACACTCTCCACCTCGTCAACGAGTATTTCACGAAGTATCCCGAGAAAGCATCCCAAGTAGTGCTCTGCGTTAAAGGAGGACGGACACCCGGGACATTCGATTTTGACGGCACAGAAAAAGGAGTGATGCGATCAGTCAACGAGTGTCTGAGGGTGCTTGATGGAAAGAAAAGCCTTGACATCTTCGAGTGCGCGAGAGTTGATCCAAAGACACCAATCGAGGAGACAATCGGCGTTCTTGCGGGATGTGTCAAAGCTGGAAAAATCAAAGGTATAGGCTTGAGCGAGGTCAAGGCCGAGACGATTCGGCGTGCTGCAGCAGTACATCCTATCGCGCAGGTTGAGGTGGAGCTGTCACTGTGGACAACAAATATCCTTCACAACGGAGTTGCTCGAGCCTGCGCAGAGCTGGGGATCCCAATCATGGCATATGCCCCCTTGAGCAGAGGTGGACTTACTAAGGAAGTCTCTGAGAAGAGCGCAGATGAGCTTCCGGCCCATTTGAAGATCTTTCCAAGATTCCAGGGCGACGTGCTTGAAGCCAACAAGAAGTTGACTATGGAAGTCGAAGCTCTAGCTAGGAGAAAAGGGTGCTCGACGCCTCAGATTGCCTTGGCTTGGGTGAGGTCGCTGAGCGGGAAAAATGGCCTAGGAGTTATTATTCCTCTCCCGGGAGCTGAACGTGAAGAGTGGGTTAGGGAAAATTGTTCTGAGATCCAACTTACGACAGAGGAGCTTGAGGAGCTTCGACAGATTGTCAGCCGTGTACCAATCCAGGGACTTCGGTATGGGGGTGAGATCGAGGCACTAAACGAAGGCTGAGCATCCCCGCAAATAGGATCTACCAGTAGCGAACCAAGAACGTAAAGCCAAGTTGTGTACGGTCCCCTCTAAGGAATTTTCAGCAGTCGAGGACGGAAGGGTATATCGGCTCAGGTTCCGCCTCAGCCTTTAGTAGCAACCTTCCATATCATGGTCCAATTCGCATTCACGAGGCAGCATGCTGCGTGAAGGTGGCTGATGCGCTTCTATTGACTCTACAATCTACTGAACATGTCGACACTACCACCCAGTGATGGTGTGTCGCCTGTCGAAGTCTTCGCGTTGCCGACTGGCCAGCTCTCACATCCTGATCGTTGGCTGTTCGAGGATGGGGATGAAGACATTATCCGGGCACGGCACGCATACCCAGATTACAGTTTTCTCATCAGGCACGCTTCAGGTCAAAATATTCTCTTCGACCTCGGCTTAGCCAAGGTAAGTGTGTTGATGGCTTGAGCAAAGCGCCAATTCACTAATATCAACTAGGACATCGACAAGATCCCACCTCTAATATTGTCTTTATCTAACATCACTGAGCCAAAGGCCCCTGAGGACGCCACCGACATTCTTCGGAGGGGTCCAGTAGATCCAGAAAGCATTTCAACCATTATATTCAGTCACCTACATTTTGACCACGTGGGAGACTGTACCAAGTTTCCTAAGGCCCGGCTGATTGCAGGACCCGGTAGCGCAGCTGCTAATGGAGAAGGCTGGCCAGTCAACCCGAAGTCGCCGAACTGCAGTGCCCCAATCCAACATCCGGGCTATCATGAACTAACGTTGGAGGGAGACGCTTGGAAACCACTGGGTTCGTTTGACCGAGCGCACGATTTCTTTGGTGACGGAAGCCTCTTTCTTATTGACACCCCTGGACACATGCCAGGACACTTGGGTGCCTTGGCCTTGACTGGGCAAAGCGAATGGGTGTTCATGGGAGGTGACTGCTGCCACCACCGATCCCTGCTGGTTGGAGCTCGACCCATGAGCGTTACCTGTGGACCTGCTGGCCAGAAGAGCTTTCACAAAGAGCCCGAAGTTGCAGCAAAGACAATCCAGAAGATTAGGGAACTCGGGAAGCTGGATGGTGGAAGGGTTTTCATTGCACTTGCTCACGATTCTTTCTTAGTTGACACCATGCCTTTGTATCCAGACAAGATCAACGGCTGGTCGAGCAGTGCGTGGAAGCAAGACCTCGAGTGCATTTTAACCAAGTTTTACCAGTGACAATAATAACTCAAGCTGTTCTAGATATCTTGCCATTCGTTCTATCATTTAGGAGAGGAGTCCCGAACAGATGTAATCGGGAGCATTGTGAACATATCGTCGAGGTGCATTGGCAATGCCACTCGCATCAATTTCTGCATTCACTGGTGAATGTCTATTGGGCTTTATCAGTATGCATACAACAGAGTAGCCTCATTGTTGCTCTGTTTTATTTTTCGATTTGCCCGAACCAGCATAAACTTCATCAGCCAGGCCAGTGCCAATGCTCCGAACGAGACTGCTGCACTGGCCGACATTGCCATTGTATATCTTGGTGCGTCGGTCTTTGGCCAAAGGTACTAACGACAGGTACAGATCAGCACGATTGTTCGTAACATTAGCAGAAGAGATCCGAGACTCACCGCAGTCCAGATTTGAGACAATGTTGCGAATGTGTTCACAATTGCCAGTGAAACAGCCTTTTTCTCTTTAGTCTGTCCACAAGTAGCGGCCACCCAGCCTAAGATGATGCTGTGGCAGGCATAGACTCCAACCGAGAACAAGCACATGGCAAAGTATCGAGCTCCAGTATTGAGAGTAGCGCAGGCAGTGATGAATCCGATTATTGCTACGCTCTTCGCAATCGTAATATGCCATGTTCGTTCATTCATACGGCCTTTGAGAGGGTTAGTACAAACGCGGCTGAGAATGGAGAATGGGTAGACTGCTTACCAGAATTCAACGCCCACAAAATCGAGGTTAGCCCAGCAACAAAGTAGGGAGGGCATGTCAGGGCTAAAGTCGCAGTTCGATTATACCCAAGGGTTTCGATGACAGTAGGGAAGAAGTTCTTGTACGCCCCAGCGGCGATATGCATGTGTTGCATAAGAACAAAAACCCATAGTCGAAGGTCCTTGGCTGCTTCCAAGAGACCTGTGAACGCAGTACTATGCTCCCGAACCTCCACAGTGTCATTGTGAATCCGGTCATGCGCCAGCTGTCGTTGTGTTGGTGATAACCATTTGGTTTTCAGAGGTTCATCTGGGAGGATGAAGCCTGCCGCAACTGCAACGACAAAGGTCAAGACACCTTGAATGATGAAGAGCCATCTCCAGCCCGTGATGCCACCAATGCCGCTCATCTCAAAGATTCCAATTGCAATCAGGCCTGCAACCGCTGTCGCTGCCAGAGCTCCTGTGTATAGGATCGACATTCGTGTAGCAATCTCCTTGCGGGTGTAAAATAGCGACAGGACATATAGCGCGCCAGGATAGAAAGGTGCTTCGGTGATGCCGAGGAAGAATCTTGCCAGGAGGAGACCGGTGAAATTCTGGGCCACAGCAGTTAAGGCACTAACGACCGCCCATAAAGCCATACAACTAGCCATATACCACGATGGCCTGACTCGAGTCATGAGCATGTCTATGGTATCATTAGCAACATGACGTATGTACTTTTCGATTTTACTCACTGCTAGGAATCTGCCCTAGTAGATATCCGACGAACAAGATCATAACACATGTTTGATACTGGGTAGAGGTGAGACCAAGTTCGTCTTCGAGGTCATCTAGCCGTGCCAGTGCAATTGCGTTCCGGTCCAGGTAGTTGAACACATACATCAGCCACAATGTAGGCATAATGAACCAATCAAGCCGTTTTACCAGTTTGATCTCTTCTGGGTCCTGCTTTGCATGAGCTCCGGAATAATCGACGGCGACGTCGTCAACGTCAAAGAGGTGCTCTTTGTGCGCTGGCAGTGACTTCTCCAGGGCTGGTTCGAAGGGGACTCCATCGGGCTGTTGGCCCTTTTGTCCATGCTTGTCGGACATAGTGCACAAAGATGCTATGAGAACCCGTTGTAGACTATGAATGCCTTCAACAGTGAAACTCCCGCCTCGAGTAAATATCCTGGGGTATTTTCCTGGAGAAGATGGAGAAGATGATGGCTAGTATTTCAATGCTGGGGAAACCCAGCTCTTAAGCACCTTGGTGAGGTCCTTGGCACAGGGTTGAGGCATTGCCCCCGTGGATTGGGGCTGGTCGTTCGGCGCGGGGTGTTTTCTTGATGAAATTGATATTGAGAACGTCCGCCGTCTTGAACCGAAGGACGGAAAGCCCGTAGAGGGTCCTGGCGGATAACTCCATATCGTACAAGAGTCTTGGGACGTTACATGGGCGGGTAAGGAAGTCCTTTTCATGGTCCACAACTATAACCCGTTCATAACAACTTTGCGTTGCGCACATCCCCGCAGATCGTCGACGGAAATGCGCCGTTGCGTCCTCAACAATGCATGTGAAAGGTGGGAAGTCCTTGGCGATATCCACCAGGCCGACGTCCAGATGCCGACTTGGCACCTTGAGCGGATGGAAGCGGTCGAAGGGGATCGGATGGTGTTGTCGTCGGCGGGAGCCTCAAAATGTGCTCTGAAAACTAAACACCTAGCGAGGAGGCAACAGCTACAGATGAGTCCTGCTTTGCGTCCAACATCGATCTCGAGAAGTCATACTGTGCTGGAAGTTGGCACATCGTTCTGAAATGCGACTTGCAACTTTGCCAACGTGCCAATAAATCGGATTGCTTGTATGTGTTCTTGGTATGTCAGAAGCTTCGCGAATAAGAAGAGCTTGAGTAGACGAATACTTTCCAGAAAAACACTGGGAACAGCATCATGTCATGAGTACTTAGAGCAACTGCATACCCCGCAGAACATACTCACTAGCAGGCTATTGAAAGCGATTGATCAAGCTCTTTAAATAGAGTACTCAAATGTGGATCTTATCAATAACACTGCCCTCAAATTACCACGATCATCAAAGTGTCAAAACCCTGGAATATTTCATTTGACTAAGTTCAATGCCCGTTTGTTTGGGCGAACTGATAGCCCTTGCTGCCGTTCAACATGTTAGGAAACTCGTAGCGCCTCTCGGTCTCGTAATATTTGTTGAATCCAACACCTTCGCATACTTCACTGTATGAAAGAATGGTTGGGGGTTTTCCCACTGTGAACGATCCCTTGATGGCCTCGAGGGTTTCACGTATACTCTTGAGTTTGGCTGCGACGAGGGTCCAGGGATATGCAACAGCACAGTAACCAATTTCTCCTAAATCCTTTGCTGAAAGGTTCTCCGTCTTCCCTCCTTCAATGATATTGGCGAACAAAGGGATATCAAGGTCTTGTCGCACTCTAGCCATCGACTCCCGGTCAGGAAGTGCTTCGATGAAGACGGCGTCGACTCCAATCTCGACAGCTTTTTTGGCTCGTGTGATGGCCTCTTCATACCCATGGATTAAACTATCGGTACGCGCCAAGATCCAAATGTCTAGACCTTCGTTTCGTGCATCGACAGCAGCTTGCCATCTTGCGTACGCCTCCTCTCGAGACACAACATTCTTACCCTGAGTATGCCCACATCCTTGCGTTGTATTAGTCCTCGTATCCGGCGAAAGGTCGGGGGCACACTTACGCTTCGGCCACGTCTGATCCTCGATCATGATGCCAGCTGCGCCTGCATGGGCAAACCTATTCGAATTAGTTGCTAGACTAAAAATGATTGACTGACGACATACCCGGAAACCGTCCTTCGCACATTCATGGGGCTGCCGTAGCCAGTGTCGCCATCAACCATGATGGGTACATTTGTCTCTCTTGCAACCTCCTGAATCTTACCAGCGACCTCCTGGAATGCGATGTAGCCTGTGTCGGGTAGACCAAGAGACGATGACATGGCATATCCGGCCAAGAATATCATGGGAAATCCAGCTTCCTCGCACAGCCTTGAGCTGAGGGCGTCATAGCTCACAACATGGGCAAGAATCTTCTTGGAATCGTTATGGGCTTCTAGCATCATAGATCGTAGTCGAGAAGCTTGGAATGAAGGGACGCGCCCCCGAACATTTGGGATCTTCACCTCCACATCGCGAGCCTGTCCCTTGTTACCCACAGTGACTGCCTTGCCAGAGTTAAATGTCCATGGATATTGCGTTGTATTGACGATTGACTTGGACATGGCTGTAGTGTAGAATAATGAATTCGTGCGGCTGGTATCGTTGATTGATTGGTCGAACTTGTTTAATACTCTTGGGGGATGTTGGCAAGGCTTTTGGTATTTAACTGTACCTATACCTCGATATGATACATGGACGTCCCAAATTGAAGCCTCCGAGATCGGCGATACATTGTCTATCCTTTCGCAGATCCATTTCATCAGCATCCGCTTTTCAATGATGAGAGGCAAGTTGTTTGCGGGGAAGATGTCCGGAGTCGGTTGGAAGCGGGTTGGGTCATCAGATTCGCGGCATGTGCTCCGTGAATAGGAAGAATCCTATCGTCATGGAACACACTCTGCCACTGCAGTGATAATGGCATTCAACTCTATCGCATGGCAGGTATACCTCCTGTCAAAGCCCTCGGCCTTATGCAGGGTCAGGTAAATTCCACAAAAAGTCTAGACTATCAAGTTCGAACCCGAGCGAGAGGTGATCTCCGGCTGCTCCAAAAGGGGCAACATTCGGGTCAAAAGGGCGAGCTGCCCAATCATTATCGCCGCCATTGAGCTGATAAGTATCGAGCATGTCAAAATCTTCTCCATACACATCTTCTCCGTTGAGCGCGGCATGTGGGTCCTGCTGCACATTCTGCTCACTAGAATCTTTGCTTTGAAGATTTTGCGGCGGCCCCGACACGTTGATCTGATATGTGCCTTCGGATCTATTTGGGGAGTGTGGAGCTGTATAGTTTGCGCGGAATCTGGCCACATGCTTCTCCATCAGCGTGGCATATCTCGGTGAAAAGTCCATGTCATCAACAGCCGACGATCGCAATGCTGCGATACTATCATCCAGAATACTTAGCGCGGTGGCTAGATCTGTGTGCTGCGGGCCCAGAGTGAGAGCTTTGAGCAGAAGAACAGACGCAGTGGTGATGCAAACGAGTGTCCGCATTGGCGTGTAGCGAAGTCGACCTGCTTGTGCCATGGTAGTTGCCTTTTGCAGGCTCTTGCAACTGTCTGTCACCACGTCACGGATGAACTTCCAATCCTGCGCAAGGACGCAAGCTTTGAACACATCGGCCTGACTCTTATCGGTTGCACTGATCCCTCGTGCAAGAGCGCGCTCTACCACAGCCTGTATAGACAGTGCTCCCGTGTATATCTTGAGATGCTGAAACTCAATGAAGAGGAGATCTTGGAAGCTAGGCGATAGATCTGCGAACTCAATATTAGCATTTCGAGCTGGGAAACAAAGGACCATGATCAACATCATCGAAAATCCCATTCGGCGGATAATTGGTAGAGGAGCACATACCGGTTGAAGCAGCGACGAACCTATCATGCCAAGCACTGAGTGAAGGCGAAAAATGCTGTAGCAGAATCAGATAGTGACCATTCAGTAGTTGCTGCTTTGTGTGAGATTTGGATTGAAAGAACATAGCAGAAGCTGTTTTCATTAACTGGGTCAAATCAATCCACAAATTCATGAATGCCCGCCATGACTTGTCCGTCGCATCATTGAGGGATTCGAGGCTTGTGGTCATAGAAGTGTTGGAGATATTTTGTGGCAGAATCGATGAACAGCTAAGTCTGACAGCTTGATATGAGACGTACACCGATAGAACCTGTCTGACGCGAATATAACGGGAGACAGGAAGATTTTCCGTCGTCGTTTGATCGAAGTCATCAGCAAGAATGCCTAGTTCGTACGCCAGGTTTGTGGCAGCTCCCAGCAACATCCAAGACATACGCTCTGCTCGTCGAGCAGGTTCAAACACGTCCTCTCTCCAACGTATCAATGGGGCATTACCGTCGCTGACGAGCCGATTGGCACCGTCATATTCTGGCTGAATCAACAAAACATCCCAGCCTTCAGAGTCGGGCGGGAAATGGATTGAACGTGGGTGCCAATCACTGATCAATATGAAGCTCTCAATGGTCCCAACAACACGAGTCCTCGCAGAGGAGAGCTTCTCCTGGCCGAACATGACCCGACGGATTAAATGGTCACAGTAGTTCCAAAATCTCTGATGCACATGATGACTGCGAGAAATACCTCCGGCACCTGGAAGGGTGAAGAACCGAGACGAGATCATCAATATCGTACACAATAGCATTGGCTCTTCATGGATGAGACTATGATGGCTTTCATGATGGCGATAATGATCAGGTAATACAGGTGTTAGGGGCGCTATGTGCTGGAAGAACCTATCGAGACAACGTTAGTTGAGAAGACTTTGAAGAACGAGGCATCGTACAAATCGAGATAGGTGACCACTTCCTGAGCAGTCACAACTCCTTGTCGTACAAAACGTGACTTGTCCCAGACATCAAGAGTCTCATTGCTAGGTATTGACAACTGGGTAATTGCGGAACCATGAAACTGTGGAGGTGTGGATGTAACCTGTGGTGAGGTACCCACTGTGGCCTGTTGGCCAAGATGCATAGGAGCACCGCTACTTTCGGCACCGGTCTGTGTTGTCCGAGGTTGGGCAACATCAAAAAGTACATCCAAGGCATTGCCCGGTCTGGTTATCACAGTCGATAGTAGACTATCAGCAAGGGAATGATTGGTGCTTGCGGGACTGACTTCCGGAATTTGGTCGCTCATGTTTGTTGGCGTCGGCTGCTGAGCGTGGGGTTTTTGGTACGACGGGCCAGAAAAAGGAACTCCACTGGAAAGGGGTGTCACATCAGATGTCGGGACACCCTGCAGCGATCGCTGAGCCACTGCCGACGTCCTCGCGGATGATGCCCCGGAGTTTCTCGTCCATTGGGGAGGATCTCGGTGCCTCGTTGATTTATGTTGATCTTCAAATACACATTCCCGGTGTTCCCTGCGACATTTGGCGCAAGGTGGCTCATTCTCGAGCACACATCTGACTTTTCTCGTTCGACATGGAATGCATGCTACGTATCCTCGCCGGAATGGTTTCGGTTTGGGGGTGTGGCGGCCCTCCAACGTGGCTGCATCCTGCAGAGACCGTCCAACTCCAAACTCCTCGGACGTTTGTGGCATGAGTTGTTGGAGATCCGCAGATGCGTGACGAGTAAAGTCTTGGACGAGGGGCCGTCGGCCGAATATATGGATGGAAGCGGCATGTTGATCAGTTACCGATTTGTTCTACCGAGCGGGTCAAACGCCGTTGCTTCGGTTCGAGTGGCGAACCTTAGTGGCATGTCACATCTTGGCTTGCCGCGCTGGCTTGATGGCCCATAACACACGGATGGAGACGGAGATCACCTCCGCACTCTCGTGGCGATTTGATCATGCTGTATAGCACAGGCCGCGATCAGGACGCTGGTCAATGAGGTGCGAAGAATTACATTCAAGATGTCCAAGGTAGGTCAGTTCCGAGATCGGCTACTCTTCACTCTCGAGATCATGGGCTGTATCGAATGTTTCCTCCGTCGTTTACTTCTCCTTGAGCGAGCTTTTCAGTCCCTGGGGCTTGAAAGATGATGATGTCGGACAATATGGTTATAATGGAAGAAGCTAAATCTTGGAGAGTACTTGTTGTGCCCTCAGCTGACAATAGCTTAGAGGCTGCTGAAGTAGTCCGACGCACCTTTGAGCAGATCCGACTTGTGCGCGATCTTGACATATCAAGTACAGTCCAGAGGGGCGTCCGTAAGGAAGGGCAGGCTGGGGACTTGAGGGAAGAGGAAACAGAAGTTGTTGATAGTACCACAAGGCCTGTACATGCCCTTCTGGTCCTCAAGTCAAAGAACCCTTTCAACCAATCCGATCAGTCTCGTGACCAAGATGCAGAGCATTCAAGAGAAATCTCAAGGCAGCCTAATAGTGTCACTATTGACTCAGCAGATCCAGTTTCATGGTTTGAGGGCGTCACCCAGCTTCTTGACGAGATTCTCTGTCTCAAAGATGAAGCAGAGGCACTGAGAAGTGCTCTACAACGGACCACAGATCCGATAGAGTTCATCGGCTCCGATTTGAAGCCAATCTCACAAGGCGGTCAAACCCCAACTGACATCTTTTGTGACGAAGTCCTCAGGCAGTACTCAAGGTTCTTGGAAGCAGCCAATTCTGCGAAACGCGCAAGCATCAGCGATGACACGACACTTGCAAAGCCATTGAGCGGACGTCGTCCTTTGTCTCTGGTGGAAAAGATTTTGGCTCACCATGCTGTAGGGCTAGAAAAGCCCGAAGTGCGTCCAGGGGACATGATTTGCGTTTCAGTAGATTGGACTTTAACGTCTGAGCTGCTCTGGGCTGGGATGGACAAAACTTATACCGCGATGAATCGACCCCGGCTTCACCGCAACGACCGAGTTTGGCTCGCTGTTGATCACACGGTTGATCCGCGCACGAATCATCAATCCAGGCAAAGGGAACTAATTGAAAAAGCAGAGCGATTCCGCGACGAGGCTAAGCTTGTCGATTTCCTCCCAGCAAATACCAGTATCATGCATACGGATTTCACCAGAGATCGAGCCCAACCAGGATACTTGGTGATTGGTAGCGACTCGCATACTTGCTCTGCTGGAAGTATGGGAGCATTCGCAGTGGGATTTGGGGCTGCTGACGTGGTGATGCCCCTAGTAACTGGAGAGACATGGTTTCGAGTTCCAGAAGTATGCCGCATCAACTTTGTCGGCAAGCTGCCTTACGGTATCTCTGGCAAGGATGTTATTCTCCATATTATTGGCCATTTCAAACGCAACACCATTGCGTTTCAGCGTGCTGTTGAATATGGTGGTCCCGGTCTAAGTGAATTGAGCATGGACGCACGCTTTGCGATTGCCAATATGACTACCGAATTCGGTGGCATGGGAGCTTGCTTCGAAAGTGATCAACGAACAGCTACCTGGCTGGCTGGCAGAAGGCTCTCTCGCGACAAGAACAGGGCACTTTACTTCAAGCCCGATTCAGAAGCACAGTATGCTGACGTTCGAACTATTGATCTTTCGAAAGTGCGAGTGACGATGGCCGTATACCCTGACCCGGATAATGTGGTTGAAATCCACGAGAAACAGGGCATGAAGCTTGATGGCTGCTTTATTGGAGCCTGTACCACCACTGAGGAGGAACTCGTGCTGGCTGGCATGGTTCTGGAAGTTGGCCTGGCAAGCGGCTTGAAACCAATCAAACAAGGCAAACGCAGAGTAACCCCTGGGAGCTTGATCATCACGCGAAAGCTCGAGCAGCTGGGTTTGTTGGAAGTATATCGACAGGCTGGCTTTGAAATCGGAGCGCCAGGCTGTTCATACTGCGTAGGGATCAACGACGTTGATGTCGCCCAATCTGGTGAAATATGGTTGTCCTCTCAGAATCGAAACTTCCGGAATAGAATGGGTCCTGGAAGCATCGGCAATGTTACCAGTGCTGCTGCTGTTGCTGCTTCGAGCTTTGGTATGGAGGTAAAGGACCCGAGACCTCTGCTAGCCAGAATAGATCCGACAAAATACGAAAGACTTTTGGGCCAGGCTCCAGTAGCGGCAGAATTGTCTCCAGCTTTTCAAGAGCCTGTTATCCGATGCCAGACAAAATCAATGTCTGATTTCACCCAAGAGACACCAAAGGGTGTTGGTCTCCATGGTGGGACAGGTGTCATCACAGCTAGAATCCAGAGATTCGGAGATAATGTCGACACTGACGCTATCATTCCCGCCCAGTTCATGCCAGGCATTGACGACGCAGATCTTGGAAGTCATTGCTTTGAGCATGTTCGACCCGAGTTTCGCCAGAGGGCAGCAAATGGAGCCACTATCATTGTGGCCGAGCATGGCTTTGGTAGTGGTTCTTCGCGTGAGGATGCTGTTCGAGCACTAAAAGGTGCAGGAGTGAAAATGATAGTTGCGAAAAGCTTTGCATTCATATGTGAGTATCTTGTTGCTGAGTACTTGACCAATCACATTTCTCTTACTTACCCTCTCACAGATGAAAGAAATCAACTCAATATGGGAGTATTCAATGCTCGGATCTCCGAAGATGACTTCTATCAGAATGCAGTGGAGGGAGCCGAGTTGAGTGTCGATAAAACAGCCAAGACTTTGAGGGTGAAAGGCGTCGATAAGTATTGGAAATATGAGCACTCGCCCATAGAGACGCAACTTCTCGAGGCTGGTGGGGTGCTCTCATTATACCACTTGTACGGGAACTCACTGTTCCGTGAGATGACTCGTCCACGCCAGGGGCGTGAATCTTACAACCCGAGAATCCAGGATTTCACCTCGGCGACATTGACACAGAAGCAACAGACAGCTCTAGCGTGGTAGGGATGCGATGGAGATAAAAATAGGTGCTATAGAAGGCTAGTGAATTTGGTTAACACGGTTATTCCAAGGAAAGCATCGTCCGTCTTCAGGATCTGTTTGAGAATACACGGTGTGAGCAAATGTCTTGTCTCTCTATCCACCAAAGACGGACTGGTCATTATTGCCGTTGTCTAAACCGAGAAGAATCTGGAGACTACGCTTGGTCTCCGCTCACTCCAGCTTGCGCGACGTTGTTGGACATTCTTAGCATCGTTGGCAGCAATGATGTCCTCGCCAGTCACGGGATGATCCATGATAGACTCTGTGTGAGGGAAAAATCGATTGAAACCCCAGTAAAAGACACCGGAAGCGACAAACGAGTAGACATAACCAATACTATAGCTGTGCAGGTAGGCATGGTCAGCGTGATGGGACAGTGATCAGCCAGCAGGGGACTTACAGATGTTGACCACCTATGGAGACGCTAGTAGTGCCGTGACCTGCAACGACAATATTGTTGACGAAGCCAGGTAGGGGAGGAACACAGCCGATGATGAATGCGGCGAGGGCGCGCCAATTGGTGCCGAATTTTGGCGAGTATCGGTACATACCGTGGAAGTTGTACATGTCTGGGACGGAAACGTTGCCACGTCGGACAATGAAGTAACTGTGGCGGAGGGCAGATGGATTAGCCAATTGAACATCTTCAGGTATACGAAACAAACAGGAATACGTACTCAGTCATCAAAATCCCGGTCATGGGGCCCAAGAAGATGGTGTAACCACCGAGGAAAGCCAGGAACTTCGCGGCAGACGCGAGAATTTTCCACTGTCACCACGGTCAGCAACATGATTCATAGTTGTCAATTTTGTACATGAACTTACCGGGACAAACCCCCAACTGCCTATGAAGGCTGCAAGAAGCTGACCACGGCGGATGTTGATGTACTTGGGGCAGAAAGCCATGAGGTCGTTGGCAGCGCTGATAGAGTTGGCGGAGATGTTGATACCAAGTGTGACGATGATGAGGCCAATCGCACCGAATGCTGCAGCTGCGCGACCTCCAGATGTTCCATTGTCCATCCAGTGGTAGATGATCTCGATAGGGTTCCAGATAATCTCGCCATAGGCAGTCTGAGAAGCAGCAGCAGTGAAGATGCCAAGCAGCCCAACAATAGCTATAGTCAACGGTCAGGAATGTCAAGTTATGATTGTATGTCAATGGTGGACTCACTGAAGATAAATGGGATAACAATGGCCTGGACATTCTGTGCACTGGGTTTGTTGGCGTATCTTGAGAAATCGGCAATATTCAGACCAAGGGTCGCATAGTTGCCCAAAACTCCGTTCAAATCTGTGGAAATACAAGTATTTAGCAAGTTTGGGCTAGTGTGAGGTGCTAGACGATCACTTACTGCCAAAGAAGGCCCATGCAAGAGTGGACCCTGCAATTGTAGTGCCTTGAGAGATGACGGTACTGTTACTAATTGTGCCTCCAGCTCTGTGCAGGGTGTCACCGAAAATGGCGAAGAATATGATGGGTGCAATGACACTCTTGAAAGCAAAGAAGTATTGAACCTTGGCCATGTCAGTTCATGTCATGGAGCATCGGATCGTAGATCCAGGAAATTAATTACCTTTGTGTACGGGATGCACAAAAATGGCAGCTGGATCACGAAATAAATGAAAAAGCCAATCATTCCTCCCGTGGTGATACCCTGGTCTTCAGGAATATGATTGGGGATATTTCGATAACGAGGCCAAATGGCAGTGAGCAAGACCGTTACACACTGACCGCCAGTCGTTGTTTGGACACTGTGTAGCGTTAATTAGTAACCAGAGTGACACAAATGGTTGACCAGATCAAACTCACCCTAGCCACACGATGGCAAGAACACAGCGAGACAGGACGACAAAGTAGCTGAAGTAGTAGCCAAAAGGCATGCGGGCAAGGACCGGAAATGGAGTGTGAAGCTGTTTTATATGTCGTTAGGACAGCTAGTTTTGATTGGCATCGTGGATGGCATCGACCTACCGTGGCACCCATTCTACCATTGATAGTGATAATGAGACCCATAATAGAGTTACCTAAGACACATGCGCCGATTGCCATTCTCCAGCTGAGGCCAACAGCAATGATTGAAGAAGCTGTAAAGCCCAGGGATTTAGAATCATGCTTGTGTAGTTGTGGGCGGCAATAATATTCCAGGTGCACTCACCGACTTCCCAGTTGGAGACAGCCCAAGCGTCTGCCATCCAGTAGGCGACATAGGCCATCCAGTTCCATGTTCGCTTTGATGGTGGAATGGGATCGAAGTCGGCATTGGAAGCGTTCTTGGAAGTTGCAAAGCTGCTCTCCTCTTGGTCGACTTCCAACTTGAAGCGGGGGAAGCGTCTCTTGACTCCAGTCACGCGACCAACTTCGACCGGCTCAGCACCAGAAGCGCCGTTCTGCTCATAGTACGGTGTTTTCTCGTCAGGGGTCTCCATGATGGAAGTTTGGGAACGATAGATGACAACTGAGTTGAATTAACGCCCACAAGGCATGCAAATTCAAGGGGATTTGAAGTGGTATTCATACAATCTTTATTGTATGTCAGTGACATTGCAATTGCAGCACGTAGCGACTCCGCGTCATCTCCACTGATAAGGAATCTAGGACAGGTTCACCGAGGCTCATTCGCGCCACAACCTGTCAAGCCTATGAGCAAGAGGAATTTGCAGATAAAGCTCCCAGACAGAAAGTCAGGCTCTGGGTCGAAAATGAATTCTGATTTGAGAACTTTCTTCTGCTCTGTGGATCAGGGATGTTATCGTACCATTCAGAATGCACATCAGTTACCTCATACAGGCCGCTCCACGACGATCGGGCAACTTGACTCGCTCAAAAACCAACTACGGGATGGCAGGGACGGCCAGAAACAAATCAAGATCGCTAGGGTTATCCTTGGCCAAAGCTTGCCTAAAGCCAATAAGGAAACTATAATCCCAAGTAGCGTATCCCTAGCGGCGGCGAAGTTGGCCTCTCCGTTGGCCGCGGGCAAAGTCGGCACAACCTTTCCAAGGCCACCTCACCTTATCTGGGCGAGGCTTGTCTAGACTCTCAAGAACGTGCCCTGTAGTGGTTTGGCACACTCCCTCTGGGGTCTTCAAGTCTGGAAATGCAAAATAGCCAGATTTTTAGACCATGACATCAAGCCGAAACCAGCATACCGTCTCTTGGGTGCGAATTGTTTCTTGCGGATTTGACGTACAGAAGTCGAGCAAGTGCAAAGGCCAAGTGCTCGACATAGGATAAGGTCGGTCTCTTGAATGCCGCGATCCTCGTCCTTGGGTACATCGACTCGTCCTTCAACGAGCTGATCAACTCAGATGCGCCACTGCAACGCATTATATAGCGCGGCGGTTTGTGTTTGATGGCGAAAGGATAATTTTGGATTACCTATGGTAGTAAGAAAAGTTCCGCCACCAGGAGCTTCGACGCCCAAATACGGCAGAGGGATAGCCCCAACGCTTCCTTGTGGATGCCTAGACATGTGGCCCAAGACCGGGGTGATTAGACCGGCAAAGCGGACCTCAGGTCCACACAGGCGGCTTTGAAGTGTTATCTTGAGTGACATCCCCACAGACGCACCTAAGAGCCGATCTGGTACCAGAACTAGAATTAGGCTCTCAAATTGCCATGGATATCGGGGCTTGTGGATGCTTTTGGCCTTCGGGAAACGCGGCAGCTCAGCAAAGGCACAAGAACAAACACTAGTAACAGAGACGATACAGTCCATTGCTTGGTTGTTTTTTTACCTTGTTTTTTTACCTATCACCTGTTCAAAAGAGGGAAGAAACAATACTGCATGTTCCGGCCAGGAGAAGAAACTCATGCACTTTTTCCAAAGGTAAGGATGACCTTGGGTTCGGAAAGTTATCCATTTCACTTCTCTTTGTCCTTTCTGCACTGCAACTTATTGATAGGTTGCACTACGTTGGCAAAGTGATAGTTACAAGGCGAAATGCTACTGATTTAGACCAATGGTAAAACCTCGTATCTGCCCGCAGTGACCATCCCTTCTATCCAACAAGTATGTAGATTTTCGGCAAGACTCATCGCAAAGTCGCATGGCCATGTTACGCCCTGAGCTAAGCGATCAGGAGCCACGAGACTTTTACGCATATGCTAGTCCAGTTATATTCTTGGACAATCAATCCACAGACTACAGATGCAAACCAATGCAGAGATGCCTGGCTTTTCTTTTCTTCATTGGCGAGTGGTACACGAAAGGACAGCCTGATCTGGCTCGAGGCAGTCAAACCTCGAGTGTCCACAAGCGCCTTTATGCATCCATGTCCCACCCTGTTCCCGCGAGGACATAGGACCTTGCGATCATTCTGACTACTTACGTGGCTTGTGCATACGCGGAAACTTTTAGGCAGTAGGTATCAACTTGCATGGCCCTTAGGGTCTGGGCGGCTATCTCAGCTTACGGAGTATGTGTATGCATTCGGACATCATTTTGACTGGGGTCCTTGGGAATAGTTGTTCATTTCCGATAAGCACTAACCTTGCAAACAGAATCCCTGGATTTAGCAACGCCTACTCGATCTGCCGGATTTTTTGGGATTTTGTTCCTTTTGCTGAGCTATGATTTTTCAGGCTCTGAACTATTTGTATTTGTTATTTGTCCAGCCAATGGACAATCAAGCTGTGGCACTCGACGCAACTACAATCACGGCACCGTCTCGCATCCCCAATCCTCATGGTTCGTCGTTCATTCCAAGAAACCCCAGAGATTATTCAAACCCTCGCTGAGACATGGATGTGCGAAAATGGTGTTCTCCAGTTCATCATAAGTCATACCCCCCATCATGGCCAACTGGACCATACTCATGATTTCACCGCCCTCGAGACCTAAACAGGCAAAACCCAAGATTTCCTTCGTGTCACCATCGACCACGGCCTTCATGAAGCCCAGGGACTCATCAGTTTCGAGAGCACGAGCCACATAGGCCATTGGCATTTTGGCAACCTTGATGTTTCGCGTGGGAAACTGCCTGCGGGCTTCAGTCTCAGTTAAGCCGACACGTCCGAGTTGCGGGTCCATGAAGACTGTGTAGGGAACCAACCGGTTCTCGATCGAAGCAAGGCTGCCGGTATTGACATGAGTGAGGAGATTGTGTTTGAGAATACGCATATCGTCGTAGGAGATGTGGGTGAACTGCGGGCCGCCCTTGACGTCGCCCATGGCGTGGATCTTGGGATTTGTTGTTTGCAGATGCTCGTCAACCTTGACGAAGCCGGCGGGGTCAGTCTCAACTCCTGCAGCGGACAGATTCAAGTCTTTGGTATTAGGACTGCGACCCGCCGCTGCTAGGACATGCGAGCATAGCAGCGACTTGATTGACCCATTTTCCTGCACAACTGACATTACAGTCTGGCCGACAGTGACGCTACCCATGTCTGTGACCCGTGCGCCGGTATAGACGTCGATGCCATCATCAGTAAGGATTTTCTTCACTTCCTCCGAGACGTCTGGATCCTCGCGTGGCATTAACCTTGCCGCGCGCTGCACGATGCTCACTTTGGCGCCAAATCGCTTCAGCATCTGTGCAAATTCAATCCCAACGTACCCACCACCAACTACAACAATATGTCGCGGAACTTGGTCCAATTCCATGACACTCGTCGAGTCGAGCAAAGCTGTAACTTTGTCGGCGTTTTTAATGTCTAGCTTTGACGGCGAACACCCAGTGTTGATGAAAATCTGGTCTGCCGTGAGCAACATCGTATCCAGGTCATTGCTGAATTCGGAGCGTTTAACTTCAATCATGTCGGATCCAATGAAACGCGCGGTGCCCATGATCAGATCGAGGCCTTTGATATTCTTCATCCTGTTTTCGCCCCCAGAGCGAAAAGAGTCAACAATGTCGCGTTTCCGTCTTCGCACGGTCTCCATATTGACGATGAGTGAGGATTTCTTGTACTGAACTCCGTATCTGTGAGCTCGGCTTGCCACATGGGCGACACGCGCTGATGCCACCATAGTTTTCTTCGACGGTGAGTACGTGATCCGAATGCGAGTTGTGATGAGAGAGAAACAAACTTACCGTTGGAGTGCATCCTTCATTGATACATGTTCCTGCGTGTAGGGAAGAAAGATAACTGTTAGCTAGGATCTTAATGTTTTCCTTCTCATCTACCATATTCGCGCTGTCCAATATCGTCCATAGTCCCCAGTGCATTCTCAAAAGCAGATGACCAGAACATCAACAGGATCGACTTACCACCAACGTGAGATTTTTCTATCAAAGCAGTCTTCTTTCCAGCATTGGCATATGCCTGTGCTAATGGCCCGCCTCCTTGACCAGAGCCTATGATGATGGCATCATAATGAGTTGGCGGTTCTGTCATTCCCGTCGCCATGGTAGAGTTTTGATGTGACTGTAATTTAGAGCGTTGGACTAAAATTGGTCGACTGGTCTTTGAACCCAAGGCCGGAGTTGACGTCGTCGAGATACGCGCTTGAAGCCCCCCGTGAGAAAAGACAAGGATGCGGCGGGGGGTTGTCAAGCGGGTGAGCATTTATCTTAACCCTCAACCTCCTTTGCACACTGTCACTTGAGGCTGAAGAGTACGGTGTCCTCTAAGAAGAAAATGATCGGGGAATAATGTATCGTTTGCTAAAAATTCGGCTGCTTAGGCAAGCTGACGTCGCTGAACGGCACACCTAGACCAAAGACTATGTTGGTGAGAAAGCTGAAGACGTAGACTTCACGTAGGACAGGTTCATCTCGACGGGACAGACGGATCATCTGTAGTCAGGAACCCTGCCAATCCCTGCCTTGATTGGGTTTGGGATGCCGCTTAGTCACTACAGAGGAATACGAGGTGGACCGGATGTCCTAAACGGGACCAATTGCGGAGACTCGAAGGTGCGGTTAGCAGTGAACCACAATGATAGAGAATCGATACATATAGATGCTCTATTCTCCGTAGGCTGTGGTTGTCGCTTTAGTTGAGGTCGGCGTAAGTGGTAAATGTCGTTGCATAGGCCAATCAGTGAAACATTGAGGGACGACAAGATGCTTTTTCTCTTCTGAATCTTGACATGGGTATCAATCATCATTACAGGTCATTCAATCCAACGCTGCCCATAAAAACGAGTATCAATTAATCCTCATCCATCGATTCCCAACCATCTTGGCCAGTGTTAGCCCCTCCATCCTCGTCGTCTGTGTCATCGTCGCTATCTTGGTTTACGCCAATTAACCTCTCTTTGCCATCTGTTTCAGGAAGCTTCACCTTTCCAGCCCATGTTTTCCTCACGGCTGGATTGGTACTGATATCCCAGACCTGCAAATGACCCTTGCTGCCGGCAACAGAGAGTCTGAATGCGACCTCGGGGTCAGGGGCAAATCGTGCAGAAAAAATTCGTCCTACGTCAAGATTTCTCGACACGACCATAGTAGGGGTGTTATTCTCGATGTTCCATAATTTGACTCTTTTGTCATCAGACCCTGTTGCGAGAAGCCCTGGAATGGTGGGATTGATGTCGAAAGCGCTCACTGCGCCGTCGTGTGCCTGAAGTGTGTAGACCGCCTTACTTGGTTGACTGTGCGAAGTCGGAGGGGTTCTAACATCAAAATAGTGCACTGTGCCACCTTCTGTGGTGACGAAGAAATAGTTGGGATCATGGGGATTCCACCGGACTTGTTCCACGTCGGCTTCCACGACCCACCTAGGTGCCACGGCATCTGGGGCGCGCATGTCTGTGGCGACAATAGTCCTATCGTAGCTGCCACTGAGAAGGATCGTTGATTCTGTTGGATGCCAGTCCAATGAGCAAACTTTGCCCTTGTGCATGGAATATGATTTAGCACATTTTCCAGTGTTGAGATCCCAGAGTTTGATTGTCTTATCCGCAGAGCCAGAAGCCAGTAGGTTCCGGTGTTGTGGATTGGCAGCAAGGGCAAGGACAGCATCAACATGGTACTCGTCGTTGGCCTTGGGTTTCTTCTTCTTCTTTGTAGATTTCTTCTTTTTCGATGATGATGCATCTTCGCCATTCTCTTCGGGTCCATCAGGTCCTTGTCCCAGAATGGCATTGGGATACATGCTATCAACAACATCCAGATCCCACACCTCGATCTCGGAGCTCATGGTGCCCACTGCGACGAAATTACCTTCGGTTTTTGTGCCTGCGTCCTTTCCAACTGGAACGTTGATCCATTCAACGGCCAAAGGGATTGCGGGGAGCATGATATCATGATGGACATAGAGATTGTCAGAATCATCTTCGTACACAAGAACCTCGAGATGAGCGACCTCGTCTTCGACTTTGGCAGCAAGAATGAGGTTGTCGGTAGGCAAAATCTGTAATTCTTCTCTTTCATCGTCTGAGTCATTCTCGCCAGGAGGAAGGACAAGGTAGGGGTCTTTCTCGTCGGGCGCGTGGTAGGAAAGGGAGCCGACGTTTCCAAAGGAAGCAAATTTGGAGCCCTGTCCAGCCTCGGATTCGTTGTCGTAGTCATCGAGGTTATACTCTTTTAAGTCATCATCGTCTTTACCAACTGAGGCTGAGGTCTGTGGGCCCGTACTTGAGGAGGGTTCTTTTGTAGACACGCCGTTGTCTGAATCTGACTGCGAGTCTGAGTTATCGTCTTCATCTTCATGCCCATCCCGCTTGGATCCAGAGTCCTGCGCCAATTCCAAATCTTCTTGCGCGTCCGCGAGTTGCAAACGGGCCAGTTCTGATATCCTGTTGAGTTCTGATTCGTCTATCTGGTATTTGACGGGGAATTGAGCGGCGGCTCCTCTTCGTACCCATGTTGTCGCCAGTGTCATCGACATTTTGGCGGTGTTGTGGACGTGGTGGCCAGAGAATGCGGTAGAGTGTAAAGCGGTTCGAGAAACGCAGGCCGATCTCAAAAAAAATAAAATCGACGGTGAGGGGAAGGAGCCACCCAGGTTGGAGAAGGTGGCTCGTGCAAGGCTGAAGATGATTTTTGCAAGGCTGAGTCTTGGCACGCCTCGACCATCGCCCACCGAGGTATATGAACTTATCAACACTCTTTCTACCAGAGATGGTTCTCAGGATCCTAGAGGTACAAGATGTTAAGACTACTCTCCCTGGTATAACACTGGAGGAATCATCCCCAATGTTTTGGATCTAAATCGCGCGCTAGCTCAAACATTCTGCGACCATGTAATGCGACACCTTCACTTTGATCACTCCTGGATATCAGTACTGCGAGACAAATCCTCATACTTTGTATAGATTTTCCGATAGTCGTCCAACTTGGTCATCACTAATTGATACGCATCCGAACCCAAAGCAATCCTTGCGGGTGGTTCCTCCATGACAGCAAGTTGATAGATCGCCTTGCTTGCCTTGAGCGGGTCACCAGGTTGATTCCCATTCCTCTTGCCCATCCTTTCCCTAGCATCGAGATGGTCGTAAGCTTCCAGCCTCTGCTTAGGGAACTCCATCGATGCCCCAGCCCAGTTGGTCCTACAAAATAAATTGTCAGCTTTTAAGAACAGGTCTCATCAACGGCAGTTCGTACCTAAACCCTCCAGGCTCGATGCAAGTGAACTTAATTCCCCATTCTGGTTTCACCTCTTGTGCGACTCCTTCAGTGAATCCTTCAAGAGCCCATTTGCTTGCACAGTAGATGCTGAAGGTCGGCATGCCTTTTTGTCCAGCCATGCTTGAAATTTGCTGGATCAATCCACCTTGAGGCATTTGCTCACGCATGACTCTCATTGCTGTTCGGGTGACGTTGATGCATCCGATGAAATTAATGTTCATCTGCTGTGTAATTTGAGCTGGGTCCAGTTCTTCAAATGGGCCGGATAGACCGAACCCAGCATTGTTGATCACCACATCTACTCTGCCAAAAGCTTTGATTGCAGTCTCGAACGCCTGGTCCACTGACTTTATGTCGGTAACGTCAAGAGCGACTGCGGCAAAGTTGTCTTTTGTTGCTGTCTCAAAGTTTAACTTTGTGGGATCTCGTGTGGTCGCGACCACCTTGTCGCCTTGGGTTAGAATCTCCTCTACCAGGTTCTTACCGAACCCGCTGGAAGTACCAGTGACAAAAAATACTCGTCCAGGCATAGTGTAGCGACAAGTTATTCGAACTTGCAATTTTCAGAACGCCAGGTGAATCGGCGAGTCAGTCAAGACAAACGGATCTTGCGACAAACCTTTGGTTTTTGTGGTAGCCTGTGTCTCATCAACCGTAAGAATGATGCTGGTGGGGGTAATTTGTTGGTATCGACTTTTGTTCGGATGAGTGAGTCGTGGTTTTTATAGTAGAGTATGTCTCATCAACTATAAGAATAATATGGATGGGGTGTATTTGAAATCGACCTTCGTTCGGTTGAGATAGTCGTGGTTTTTGTGGTGGCCTATGTCTCATCAAGCTGTAAGAATGATGCGGGTGGGCGTAATTTGGAATCAACCTTCGTTCGGATGAGAGAGTCAGAATACCTAACCACGCCTTATCCCCGTGACCAGGGCCGAGGGGCCCTAAGAGATCCCGCTGTTCTGGTCCGACAAAATAAGTGTGGGAGTTTGAGTGCAGTGATTGGAGCATGAAATGTTGACCCTGCCCCAAATCTGGAGTTAGACACTTAAAGCCGGGAGAGGATATTAAGTAAAACCAGACGAACGTGCTGCTAGGCCAGGGTTGGAAATCTCAATTCAAGCACGATACCAATTAGTAATTTGTAACCTATATAGTCAAGGCCGCTTTGCAATATTATTGATACATGATGGGTTGCCCAACGTTGAAAGTTGATTCGAGAAATCCCGCAGATTGATATATAGGATACTAGGTTAAATTATATGGATATATGAGATACAAGAAACTTCCGCCGCCCTCAAACTGGTCGTAAGCCTGCTTAAAATGCAAGACCTTTCACCTCTTTGACTTCCTTGAGGTTGATATTCCGCCAAATTATTACGCAGAGAAGCGTAAGGACCAAGAAGCAGGTTGCGGCAATAGTCATCAATCTCTGCACATCGCCATAAGCCTGGAGGATGGCATCCCTGGCAGGGCTACCCATGGGGTAACTGAGCTGAACAGTGAGATCTCCGTAAATGGTGGACGCCTCAGGTTGTAGCTCTTCAGGGAGATACCGCTCGAGTCTCTCGGGCAGAATATTTGTCCAGATACCGCCTGAAAGAGACGCCCCGATTGCATTGCCAACACTGGCGAACATGCTGTGAAGAGCAAGGGCGACGGCGACATTTTCATGCGGTACAGCTGCCATGACTGCAATTTGTTCGCAAATGACCAGAGCTCCTCGAGCGAAGGCGATGAAGATCTGGCACATTATGACGTAGCCAATGGCTTGGTTGGGTTGTCGGAAGTGGATCATCAAACCAGTGCCTAGAATTTGAAGGGGGGTGAAGGTCAAGGCGATCCATTTGAACCGGTGGGTACCACGGACCAAGGCCGCAACCACAAAAGCAAAGGCACAAGAGCCCAGGTTGAAAATGTTGGCGATATAGCCAGCCTCAGCGATGCTCACGTTGTGCACCACCTGGAGGTAAGAACGGAAGAGAGCGTTCCAGCAATAGAATGAGATGAAGTTGGTTCCAGCTGAGAGACAGGCACCGAGAACGGTGCGGTTCTTCAGCATCCAAAAGGGCATGAAACTGCGTGGCGCAAAGAACTTCTCCCAAATGGCGAAGAGAACGAGGGAGACCAAACCAAATACCAATAGGCAGATGATCATAGGAGATCGCCACTGATCAGCCTGGTAGGAAGCCAGAGAAAAGGGCAGGAGAAACATGGAGAAACCAGCACAGATTAGCAACAATCCCAGCACATCGAATTCGATCAAGTAATACTTGACCGACTGGGCAAATGTGCGACCAGACGGCTGTTTGACCAATTTCTCCTCAGATCTGGCCTGTCTGACCTTCCACCAATACAGTGCGATGAAAGGAAGTGTCATGGCCGGAGTAACAATGGCGAATGTGCCATATGCCCAACGCCAACCTGCCCCATCGATGAAATTTCCAGCAGCGGCGGGTCCAGCGAAGGTTGTTGCAATAAATGGAGAAGTGGTGAAGGCATACATGATGGCTCGATTCTTCAGAGACGAGGTGTCGGCAATAAACACGTCGAGGACGAAATCCATGCCATTCATACCGATCCAGTAGAAGACCTGAGCGGCCGCATAGGTCTCGACATTGTTGCAGGTCGCCATCATGATGATTGCAATCGTGGTCAGAAACACCATGAGAACAAAACCTTCACCGCGACCAACGACATCGAGAAGGCGGGCGAGAGGAAGCCGAGAAACACCACCGACGATCGATGAGACGACACCAGTGGTGGCCGTCAGCGAGTGCAATGAGAAGGAACTGGTGACATAGGGAAGTACGTTGAATGAGATCTGCATCTGCAGCGAGTTGACGAACATGATAATGAAGACGCTGTAGGATCGGTTAGAAACAAGCGTCGACTCAAAACCGTTCACAAATTCAGGGAGGACCATACCAAACATAGGCCATGAGTAGGGTTGGCACAGTCCAATTGCTGGCAGTGATCTCGGACTTCTTCACACCATCGGGGGCATCAGGGTTAATTTCGTCGCTGCTCTGGCTGTCTCGAGATGGCGAAACATCAGTGCCCTTCTCCTGCGTAGAAAGGGCATCCTGCTCTTGCTGATCTTGCGGGTCGACTGTTGGCAAGTTCCCGCCAGGGTTGCCGCCGGCGAGTTTGCCAATTCCGAAAACCATGGCTCCAGACAAGCGATGGAAATCTCAATATCTGTGGAAAAGAGGTGGAGTGGGAGGTGAGCTGCACCCAATATACGTAACTTTAGCAAAGAAAGAGCTGAAGGAGACGAGGCTGGGGTCAGTGATGACAGAATCAGGCAGAGTAGATATAATCCATAAAGAATAGAGGTGAAAAGTCGTCTCAATGCCCCATCTTGTCTCCTCGGCCCAGGTTGCATACTCCACCTATGACGGTAAATGATATCGCCTACGCCGAAAGGCTGCATGCGTCACAGACTAGAATCGGCGGTAAGGGGATTTTCGAAGAAAGCTGGACATCACCACATGACATAACAGCCCAATTCAGAAGTGGGAGCCGGAAGCCAAGATCGATCAGAGAGTCAATGGGATGAAGGTGCATCATGACACAAACACAGACATATACAATCCGATCATCCCTCCGAGCAGATCTTACATGACCCTTTGGGTGTTCTCAAAGCACAAAGTCAGGGTCCACTGGTGAAGCAGCAAACGGCTTGCGCGCATCAACGCTCCGAAGTCAACATGCTGCGACACAAGAAAGATGTGCATGGGCAGGCATTATGATTTTGAGATACCTATCTTATCGGCTTGGCGACTTATGAGGCTTGGAACGTGGCTTCATGTTCTCTGACGCTTTAGTTCTTGGGGGCTCGGAGTTGGCATCGAGATGAGATTATTTTCTGAAACCCTCCGGTGTCGCTCGAACGATATAATTGCAAGCCTGTAATGGCCGATGATGGCGAAGTAGCCATCAGCGGCCCAGGATCGTTCGATCTGGTTCTTGTGATTGAGGTCAGGGCGAGCCTTAGGGAGTCCAAGAAAGCGAAGGATGATCGCGCAGAACAGTGGAGCGATTTCGGACGGAACAATCAGATCATCTATCTAATCAGATTGTTTGTCGACGCAATACCAAGAACGACAAGGCTTTTGAGATGTCCATAGGAGTCTTGGTGTGTTGCCAGGCCGTGTGCCATATCGTTGGGGCTATATAGCATGTCAAGGATGTCGTCCCTGCTAGAGCTGCCAATATACGCTAGCTATAGTCCCTTATGATGTATCAACCCACTGATTGACTGCCAAGGGGGCTAGCAGTAGTCATACTTTGTGCTAATGCCTCGGCGTATGTCAACGGTATTAATTCAGCTCCTTTGAGGGTCTGCTGCGTTTCCACTTGGAGTTGGTTATCTATGGCGAGCAATAATCTATAGCATGATATACGGAGTACATGTAGTCGGCATCATTTACCCCAGATGTCATGTCATACGATGATAATCTTGTCCTAGAGAGCGCAGTAATATTTTTTTCCTCACTGATACTGAGAATAGTGCGCCAGGCCAATCTAATCGTTGTGCCTCTACCCAAGCCTTCACTGGTTGGTAAAGTGGGCTGATGAAGGAGGCTTCTGTGTGGGCCTCGTCCCTGTGCAAAAATTCACAGCTAGTGTGTAACTGCTTGGGGGTCCAGACAGCCATGGAGGTACCTTTTTATGTAAAGTTTATTGCCGGGAATTGCGGCAAAAAGCAAAGGGAAAGTCGCCAGAGACTGAGCTGGCAGCCTTAATGGGGACATTGTCAATCTTCCGGCGAGTCTTTGTTTGCTTCGGCTGAGTTAGGAGCCTCTCTATCTGCGTAGTCTCGTGCTCAAATCAAAACTTGTCGACATTTGGCTCACGTGACTTCATCCACTTTTCAGCCTCGTTTCATCCAGCCTCGCTCCTACCCTATCTTGATGTTTCTTCCTTTGCCCTGCTTCCCAGCTGGTTGAGACCAATCCCCTGATCAGAATCCTAACATCATCTCAAACTGCCATCTCCAGCTTCTCATCAGTAATCTCATCAGTATGATCCTACTACTTCTCTGACTTTCATGTTGCTGGGCCAAGCCTCAAACGTTCCTGATGCATCCCAGGTCCGTCGCCGCCTCTCTGTGACCTATGGTTATGGGGCACACCACTCTAGTTGTATGAATAGAACCGCGGGTTCTGACGGTGAGTTTGATTAGAAGTGATCTCTTCACAGTTCAGATGATTCGGTCAGCATATCCATGGCCTTTTCCACCGCGGTACCATTCCCTTCCTTTCGGGCTCCGATCCACGGATATCTTCCCACGGGTGGACTGATGCGCTATGACTCTCCACTCCCGACTGACTGCGGTCGCACTCCACGGTGAGTCTGTAAATCTGGGGACCCCGCCAAGTCATTATTGAGACACCTCCAGTCTGGGGTACACGGCATTTGGTATAACCTTCCAGAGGAAGCCACAGGATTGCTCATCAGATCAACATCCGCCGAAAGCTAAACACATCTGCAAAAGGAACATAATGTCTTCCCATGTCAATGGCGAAAAGCCCACCGTGCAGAACATGGAACATCCCATCCAGATTGAAACTCAAGACAAAATCGACACCTTACACAATGATGAAGCACTCAAAGTCATTGCCGAAGAGCACGGATCAAATGAATGGGAGCCAGCAGAGGAAAAACGCATCCTACGCAAGATTGACTGGAGTCTACTCCCTCTACTGTGCTTGACGTGAGTCCGGCAACATAAAAAGACTTCGTTGGTGCCTGGCTGATTAGTTCGACAGTTATGGGTTGCAGTACTATGACAAAGCCATGTTGTCACAAGCGGTAATAACACAGATCCAATATCTCGTCAATTTCCGCTAGAGACTAATCATCATATAGGCTATCTTTGGATTACGCGACGACTTGAATCTGAGCGTTGGTAATCGCTGTATGCTTGCCTGTTCCAGTATAATCAACTGCGCCCTCACCAACCATAACCTTGTCACAGATACCTTCAGCTCCGCCATATTTTACCTCGGCTTTCTGTCAGGCTCATATCCTTCCACAGTGCTTGCTCAACGCTATCCGATCGAGCGTGTTGCAGGTGGCCTGGTTCTCTTGTGGGGAGTCTCCCTTATGGCCACAGCGGGATGCACAAATTTCCAAGGACTGTACGCACAAAGATTCTTCCTTGGCTTTTTGGAAGCAGGGATCTCGCCAATCTTTATGCTTGTTGTTGGGGGTTGGTATGAAAAATGTTAGTTCCTGCCATCCGGAGCTCATCTAATTCTATTGAAATTTCACTGACACTAGAGTACTTAAAGCTGAGCAAGCGCTTCGAATGGGAGTGGGTTTCAAGACTTCCTGTTGTCATAACATGGCCCTCATGCTTACACGATTCCTAGGCATGGTTCTGTTGCACTGGATACTTTGGAGCAATGTCTCCTCTTGTCAATTATGGCCTTGGACAGATAAGAGGTGGTGCGCTGAACTCCTGGCAGTACATGTATCTGGTGGCTGGAGGAATCACTGTCCTTTGGGCTTTCGTGGTCTATTTCTTCTTGCCGGCCGACCCCATTCGAGCCAAAGGATTTACGACACGTGAGCGCTACATTGCCGTTGCTCGCCTCCGGAAGAACAACAGTGGTGTCCGCAATCTCCACTGGAAGAACTCTCAACTAGTTGAAAGCTTGACCGACGTCAAATTTTGGCTTTGTATCTTCATGGCTTTTTTCATGATGTTTGCCAACGGACCTTTTTCCACGGTGCGGATAACCTGTCCCTTTTCTGCTTATTGGAGAAGAACCAAACTAACAGTCTTTTCACAGTTCACTCCTATCATTGTCCACGGTTAGTTCTTTATTTGTGTGTTCTTGATCATGATCTTACTAAATGCACCGAAACAAGGCTTCGGATTCAGCGCATTGAACTCATTACTCCTCACCGTTCCCGCAGGAGTCTTTGTTGGAACCGTCGAGCTCGGGGCTTGCTATCTAGCATATCGATATCAAAATTCGAGGACCCTCATCATGTTGATCTGTCAGGTCCCTACGGTCGTTGCGTCTTTGCTGCTCTGGCTTCTTCCACGCCATGAACTAGGTGGCTTACTCTTTGCGGTATTCGTCATTGCATCTTTTGGAGGAACTTACGCTGTTCTACTTGGGCTGACCATCGCCAACTGCGCCGGCTACACCAAGAAGACAGTGTATTCTGCAGGGTTGTTCGTTGGGTACTGCCTGGGTAATATTGCAGGCCCACTGTACGTATCGTGTTGATCACACGCACCCACCCACTGACCGAGATGCTGCGAACAGGATCTTCAGGCAGAATGATGCACCACGATATGCTACTGCCTTTATCATCGTCCTGATCACTGCAGTCCTCACACAGGCCCTGACCTTGATCTATCGCTACCTATGCATAAGAGAAAATAGGAAGAGAGATGAGAGCGGGGTCGAGGAGGGATTCGACCACGCTTACGAGGACGATCTCACAGATAGAATGGTAACATCCTTCTAATTACACCAAGTCTACAATCACTCAAAAGCTAACGATGAACTTCAGAATCCGCAATTCCGCTACATTTACTAGCCAAGACACTTTCATTTGGAAGGACTCTGGTTCTAGAAAGTTCGCGCCTGTTAGACGGGAGAAGGGAAGGATATTAACACGTCGTTCAGGGTGGCCGGCATAATGACTATGACTAAGCTTGAAGTCTTCTGGACGACCATACTTGCTCTCATCTTGCCAATTTCATATCTCCAACTGAGCAAGCCGTGATCCGCCGAGTAAAAGGCAATATATGATTTCGTATCTGACAGAAAAGAAATCTACCGTATCCAAAGCACTATCTCTTCTCTTCCATTCGTACTGACTGCTTGACTCAAATTTGGGCTCACCCGGGCTTGCAATCGTGCGAAGGTCTCAATGGTTCAATGGTGGTGACATTTCTTGTGATGGGTAAGGTGATTGGTGCTCCTTCATTCTCACTGGTACTCCTGAAGTCCACAATCAATCCTAATAGGTGTATCGGAGTGCTACCGCGGAATGACAAGCGGAGCTAGGAGTCGGTGAGGTTGCCATTCAATAGTGGTAATAGCTCCACGGTAAAAGGTCCGGGGGCTTCGGGGGAGGATTCAAGCGTTCTTTGCGAGTCAATCCCATCGGTACCCTTGCATGATGTTGTCAAATATGATATGCATAAGATTCGAAGACGGTGGGAGAAGATCAATGAGCTGATTAACTAATTGCTTGCTCGCTGGTTGTTGCAATCATGGCTGCACCCTCCGTAAACACCGATGCCTACCGCCTTGAAGCTCTCCTCGATCTCTTCTCTCTGAAAGAAAAGACTGTCGTTATATCAGGTCTATTGCCCAAAATCCCTGCTCTGGGACGAAGTTGGTAAAACGATCCTAGAACTGATGTTTGACTCGGACAGGTGGTGCTCGCGGCCTTGGTCTGACATTTGCGTGGGCATGTGCTGAACTCGGCGCCAACATCGCGGCATTAGACCTATCAGAGAAGCCGCATGATGATTTTTGCCTCTTGAAAGATGAGCTTCGTGTGAAGGCCAAATTCTATAGGTGAGCTGGGTCTCAAGGAATCGTCAACAGCAATTCTGATCCGATGGGCCGACCTTGACCCTTCCCTTAGAACCGACGTCACGAACTTGGAAATGCTCGAGCAAACATTTGATCAAATAGTCAAGGACTTTGGTCGGATTGACCATTGGTAAGTGGTCAATTTGACTCCCTATTTGAAGGCTAGACCGGAGTGTCTCCATCGATGTCTAACCATGAAGTCAGTATAACGGCTGCCGGAATTGCAAAGGAGAAGCCCTTCCTCGACCAGACGCCCGCTGATGTCATGTCGATACTCAATGTCAATGTAAGAAGTCGAATTTTATGTTGGAATCGGAACATGTCCATCTCAATTTGTTATTTCCCTCTAACCTCTCTAGGTTTTGGGCACATACCTTACAGCTCAATTGGCTGCTAAGCAGATGGTTGCTCAGAGGACTCCTGGAAGTATACTTCTGGTGTCCTCAATCGGAGCACACTGCTCGGTACCAGGAAAGACTGTATCGGCATATTGTGCATCCAAAGGCGCCGTTCTCTCCTTGTGCCGCGCTATAGCCGACGAGCTTGTTCAATATAACATTCGAGTGAACACGATCAGCCCAGGGTATGTGGAACAACCTAGATTCCGAGATATACGTTACTGATATGGTCGCGTTCAGATTCATGCTCACTGATATGGCTATCCGTGATATTGATAAGCGGCCAAATATCCTCCAGGAACTTAGTGCGAATGTACCCATGAGGCGGGTAGGGGACCGTCGTGATCTCAAGGGAGCAGTCGCTCTGCTATTGTCAAATGCATCGGCATATACGACAGGATCTGATCTGATTATTGATGGAGGGCTAGTTTCTCATTAGATCTTTATACGATGGTTGACGACATATCCCAACAGGGCACCTTGTTGTTAATCGACGGCAAAAGCAATCACCACTATTCAAATCTCACTTTTTCGCTTTCCCTATAAGTTCGAAGTCCGATGGCCCTTGACTTGTATGACAATCTTGCCAAAGTTCTTTCCTCTTCTCATCAAGTTGAAGGCATCCTCCACCTGACTGAAGCTGTGAATCGAATCAACAACCGGCCTCATTTTCTTGTCTTTGATAAAGCCAACTAGCTGCTTGAATTCCTGTCTTGACCCCATTGTCGATCCTCTCAACTGTTGATCAAGTTAGCCTGAGCTGCCATGGAATAACGAAGAGGAAGTTTTCTCGTGCACAAACCTCAATATTCTTCATAACAGCCGGCATAGTAAATATGACTTTGGGCCCAAGAGTCATGCCATAGCTGGAGATGATGCCTCCCGCTTTAAGCATGCTCAACGATCTCGTTACAATGTCGCCTCCAGCCCCATCAATAACGGTGTCCAGGAATGATCTTTCTGACGGCAGAATCGCTCTCAACTGCTGATCCCATTGTGGATTATTATAATTGACACCCCCAGTGGCTCCAAGAGCTTTTGCTCTGGCAATTTTGTCCTCTGACCCTGATGATACGAATACATTCGCTCCCTGGGCCAGAGAAAACTGGAGGCAGAACAGCGCCACACCTCCACCAATGCCAGTGATTAAAACATTGTGACCTTCTTGGACTCCAGCTTTGACAATCGTTGCTCGCCAGGCCGTGAGTGCAGCCAAGGGAATCGCGGCTGCTTCTTGGTCAGAAAGATGAGCTGGACAAAGTTCGATTTCAGATGAGGGAACGGCAATGTATTCCTGGCAGCATCCGTTCTTCAATTTCGCTGTACCGCCCAGAATTGCAAATTCCGACTCAGGACCGGATAGGTCATTCTCCCATCTGTTCTCACGGATATTAGTCGTACGGACTCTGAGGTTCAGAGACTCGTGTTCCTTACCCCCTAGCTGGAGCCAACAAAACCCGTTTACCCTGCCATTGCTTCTGGATTTCTTCCGATCCACAGGCCACAACAACGCCTACACCATCGGCCATGATTGGCACTCCGGCAGCAGCACCGCGATATAAGCCCTGACGGGCAAAAAGGTCTCGATGGTTCAGTGATGCGCACGAGATCTTGACGACGACCTCTTCCTGTGCTGGCTTTGGAAAGGGAACTTCTATAGTCTGCAGCCTAGATGATATTTCTCAGGTCCATAAGTTCACTCAATCCCATGTAGACAACTCACGGCCAGTATTTTTCACCAGGTTTCCCCGGTGTCTCCAACATGACAATTGCTTTAGGCATGGTTGTGTTATCTGCAACTCAATAGGACAGCTTACGAATACGACATGTATGATTGAAGATGAGCGAGGAAAAAATCTGCTATGTTCATTTTTCCTGATATTCAAAGAATTGACGTCTCGGTAGGCCAGCCGAGGGTATCTCTCCGAGGAAAGGTACTGATGTATGGAGAGCATATTCCAAAAGAGCACTCTACAACACCGCAGAGATCTTTCGTTCGACCACTTCCATCCACGTGCTATGACTACGACGACTCCTCGCTTTCTCAATATCCGTGTTCGTAATTGGCCTCGCCTCTGTGGCCGGATTGTACCCCAGCCGAGACACTGTTTCCACATGAGGAACCAGAGTGTTGACCTGATGATCCCACCGTTTATAGACTGTGACAACCGCAGCACCGCCGAGTCCAAGATTATGTTGCAAGGCGACTGAAGCTCCTTCAACTAGTCTGTTGGTCGCCCAGCCTCGAAGTTGCCAGTTCAACTCTGCACATTGAGCTAGACCTGTGGCCCCGAGAGGATGGCCTTTGGAGATGAGACCTCCCGAGGGGTTGATTACAACCTTTCCACCGTAGGTGATATTTCCCTGGCGGACAAACTCGTGGGCCTTACCAGGCGCACATAGTCCAAGTCCATCGATTGTTATCATCTCATTGGCAGAAAAGCAATCATGAAGCTCGCAGATTTTGACGTCTTCCGGAGTAATTCCGGCTTGCGCCATAGCTTGCTGGGAGGCTCTTTTGGTCATCTGAAACCCCACCAGATCGATGGCAGATGTTGAGTATAGGTTAGGAGAATCTGTTGCTAACGAACAACCTGCGATCAAAATTGCCTGGGATTTAAGATCTGGATGAGCGTCAAGAAATTGCTGTGACACCACCACTGCTGCAGCTGCTCCATCCGAAGTCGGACAACTATGAAGTACAAAAAAGCCGTCAGCATTTGTTTTCTTGTCACTCGCATTACACGTACCACTGTAACTTGGTTAGGGGAGAGTGGATCATGGGACTCTGCATGATCTGTTCCAGGGTGTATACGTCTTGAAACTGACTGTACGGGTTTTTGGCCGAATGTAGATGATTCACTCGAGCAATCTCAGCAAAGTCCTCCAGCGTGGCTCCAAACTTCTCCATATATTCACGCCCAGCATTTCCAAACGTCTGTGGGGCTCGAGGAACTCGATCATCATAGCCACGGGTCTTTCTGATCATTTCGACGGTTTTCTCATTGGGCGGAGCTCGATCACTGTATGCAGACTTGAGCGACCCGGCTGCCATTTTCTCAAATCCAACTATGAGGATGCAGTTCGCTAGACCGCCTCCGATGAGCTGAGATGCCATGAATAGACCTGTAGAACCCGTAGAGCAATTGTTGTTCACATTATAAATAGGGATTTGTGTCATGCCTGTGAACTGTTAGCAGCGAAACTGAATCACGTCCTTGAGTGATTGCATACCAAATTGATAGAAGACTCGCTGTCCGCATGTTGAGTCACCATAGCAGTAGCAGGCGATTCCCTGATCCACCTGGTCATAGTTGATGCCGGCATCTACCATGGCTTTGATGCCGGCCTCAAAACCAAGCTCCGGGTAGTCCACAAGACCTCTCGGTTTGATGAATCTGGTTAAACCAACTCCAATCACATATGATGAAGTCTTCGCCATACTGGATTGCTAAGATTGATGTCCAGGCCTCAAATTTCGTAGTAATTCAAGACTTCAATATTAAGAGATCCTCAAATTGGCTCGAATGACTGAAGCTTGCGACTCTGCTCGGTGGCGTGAGCAAGCATGAAGGACTTGCATGACAGGAAT